TAGCATCTCTCTGACCCACTGTATGACACTCTCACTTCATGCTGGAAGTAGAAATGACAACATTGACGGTCTACCGGACCATTACATGCTACTTTCCTCTAAATCTCTCTGTAATCACGATTATATTGTAAAAGTGAGATTGGAATGATTCTATACAGCGAAAAAGAGTGCGAATTAACATAAGGCCATAACAGCTTGGTCTTTATATATACTTTTCTGCCGTTCCAACCTTGCTTGGGTTTTAAGTCGATTCATGCGCGTAAGACGGCAACTATGTCACCCTGCCTATGAATTTAATTTCAAAAAGGTATGGATTGTATTGAGAGTCACATCGTCCCAGTGACTTAATAGCCTCTGTGCATGTGCGGCTGAGTGGTAATTTTCCTGCTGGTCCAGAATCATCTTTTGAGTACCGATGAGACCAAGGGGAAATCAAAACTCTGTGATAAAACCATTTTGGAAGCAGGGCTAAGGAAATATCAAGGACATAGTGAGTCGACTTATTTCATTGTAGGAAAGTAAACTATTGGCCCTTAACTACCTAATCCGGCCCAGGGAGGCAATAGATTTAGTGTTTATTTTGAAGCCTCCCAACTCTCATTGTGATCATAACTGAGTGACGTAAATGAGTTTCATACTAGGAGCTAATCAAAATGTTCCCACCTCTTGAGTTCTCCCTAGTTTCAAGCCAATCGTTTGCAGCTTTCTAATATCATTTGCCAATTTAAGCCTAAAGCAGGTTTGAATGAGACACATATCATCAAAGCATCTTCACAAGATGCATAAAACAACCTAGCGCATGTCATGAAGTCTCTGAACTTGATGAGCCTATGACCAAAGAGTCTCTACAGTTTTACCAAGCTGTCTTAGAGGCTTTTACCACTCCTTTTTGGAATAATTGAGAGTAAAGCATAACATGACATTTTAGTTGTTCACTGGACATGCCAACCTCGATACTATCGAAACCTTCGGGAATGTATCAAGTCAATGCTTCAATCCTGGAAGCAACCTTAATTACTTTTGCAGAGGCAAATTTATGGAAGTTTTTCTGAAGGCACGGTTAATTTGCAAACATTCTTATATTTATGTACCTTCATATTTTGTTTATAACAAATTTTTTAAAAAGCTAAAAATGCGTTAAATTCACTAGCCTATGAGTTAGATTCTACTTGAAAAATCTCTCACTGATATCGATCTGACGCATTTGAAGCTTTCATTCAAGAGAAGCTACTACAATTTTCTGCGACCATGCATTATAGTAAAAAGTGATAACATGACATAAGCAGAACATGAATGAAAAGAATTAGCAATCCCCAATAAACTAGACTATGCGTTATACGACTAACCAGAGAAGTTTGGAAATATATACCTCGGAAACCCAAGGCATCATTGATGCTCGTAGCAATATTTTTTCTTTCGGAAGTTGGTCAGGGAAGTACGTTTATAGGAATCCCAGCAGATTGTTCTAAATTAGCTGATACCTCGGATATAGACGCTGAAGTTACCACTTCAACTTTAAATTTCAAGTTGAAACCAGACACTTACAGAAGGCCTGGAGACTTGTTCTCATATCGGGGGTTAGTGATTATAGGCAGGTCAAGGCCTTTGCTGTCAAAGGTAGAATCGTTTACGGCAGTGCTTGATGGTGACGAGGTCGGATCAATCGTATCTCCGCCAATTGAAGTATTATCGTCATAGTCTCCAGCTGAAGAAGTTAGTTTGGCTCGACTTCTGTCCTCCAAACGCTTCTGGATGAGATGCTTCTGTTCATCTCGACTCTGTGAATGACTAGACATTAAAATAAATAATCTTACATTAAGATTATATACATTGTGAGCCCTAAACTAAAGTTACGCTATACTCCAATTTTTTTCTTGATGTTACAAGTATTCTCGTAACCCAGATACAGATAATTCAGTAATAACTTAATGAGTAAGACTCATGAATACGCCTAAGGCAGAGGATAAAACTCACCTGACTGGTGTATCATGAGCAAAATGAATATATTTCCCAGTTTCAGAATAAATTGGACCATTGTCACATTCAAGCTAGTAGAAAATAAGTTTCGTGTACCTTGGAATTCAAAATATATATGCATGGACGTAGGACCAAGAATTAAAATAACTGATATTCTCTCCGTTTGTTATACTTCGGTCTAATTTACAGATGTCACCATAGATGGATGACTATAGAGTTGGAATTGTGGTTATCATTCTCCTAGGCGTGTGGTACGACGTAATATATTCGTGACCATTCTACAAATTAGAACTCGAAAGAATGTAGTGTAGGGTCTGTATTGATCCAAAACATAAGCATTGAAATGCATTTGTATATATGAGAGTGATGCGAAGACGAGCAGACGAAGATGACGTGTGCCTAAAAGTGCCCAGTGTACTAACGAACTAATGAGACTAACCAGCGTAGATATAAAGCTTTGTAATCGACTACTAAGGTCTAATATATGCGTGGAACTGTTGAGTTTAGAAGAATGCCCCGGCTTGCTTTAAGTATAAGGGAAAATGTTTGGTGAAGGGATTTAAAATTATATCCCCCCGAAAGACGAAGACAGAATCCTATCGGACAGCTTTCATTTGGCTAATGATATTTTACATCTTCGTATGTCATGAGATGGACATAATCAAGAAAGTGTATCAGTGCCAAAATAAATTCAAATTAGATTTGAGTAATTTCAGGCTACCACGGCACTTGCAACCTGTCCTTTAATTCGGATGAGGATGCTCATAATAAAGAGCTGAGGTCTAAACCGCATCCATTCCATGTGAGAAAGTCATGCTCGGGATAGCTAACTCAAGTCAGTTTAATCCATTAGTATTTCCTAGATGTAGGAAGTATACTCTTCTCTGATGATGTCCTTTGTAGGAAAGATGAAAATTTTGCGCTTTTCCATCTTAATTAATGGAGGTGGACTCGGAAACAGTAGAAGATAGAATGTTTTAGTAAAGCACAATTTCAGCTGGCCAGGAGGAATCCGTCTTTGTGTTCTGGCTAGATCAACCTTCTAATATCTTCCCCAAGAAATTTCACTCTAAAAAGATGTGAGCGCAACCCTAGAAACCAGAGCAAGAGGTTCCTAGAATTTAAGATGGATGCCGAGCTCTGAAATCTTTTGACTGATATATATCTATCAGCGAAATACCCTTTATTCGAAAAGGAATAACTAGGGTTTCTTATAACAAATCTTCGGATTTATTCTTAAGTTTCTTACGAAAATTAGTGTTTTTAATGGAATCAAGTTATATATGTGGTAAGGGTTTATCACAAATAAAAGAGGGACAAGAGGTCAAAAACTTCATGCAACACTGGGGAGAAGAGTTGAGATGAGGAGCTCGAATATCTGTGCGTTTTCAAGTCTTTTTGCTTGAAATCCCCAAGGATGAGAACAATGGTAATTATGTCCCCAAGGCTTCAAAATTGTGAATTATCTACAAAGGCTTCATCTTAACAGCAAATTCCATTTAAGTTTGACCCCCAGAAGGCTTTTCCACTTATAAATGATGCGGTTTCTACCTCATTTCTTTGGCATGAAGTTAGACTGCAAGCCTCGTAGTGGAAGGAAATTACCTAGCAACAGGACCCAATTTCCAGTGAGCTGCAGAGCATGATTAAAGTTAAGGTCTTACACCAAATGAGGATGAGATTGGATAGATGAAACAAGTAGTTATTACTACTATTAAGTTGCCTGTCCGTTATCGAACCAATTTATTAACCAAATTACGTATGACGAGAGAGTATGTGGCATAAAATTAATAAGGTCTTGCAAAAATATCTACATCTGAGTGAATTCTGAAGACTTGTCAAGCAGGTTGTTTACTAAATTGGCCTGCCTCACTGTCGGATCAATTTTGGTGATGTTTCGTTTCTGCTTGGCCGCCGCCCGTTTCTCTGCAATCAGCTGGGTTTGTCGTTTACGTTCTTCGTTCAATTGTTCATCACGGTGCTTTAAACGCTCAAAAGCTCCGCGCTTGACAAAGAATGAAGAGAAGAAAGAGTTGTAGCATAATTTTTTTATAAAATACGAAAATTAATATAGACATCTTATACTGAGCTATTAGTTTGGGAAAACATGAATCGCAAACGGTAGCAATATAAAGCATATTAAAGTTTCAACGCAAATAAAAATATTAACCTAATGCTCTCTTTAAAAATATAACTATACACAGGTATATAAGTTGTTTGAACTTCCTTTCGCAAACTTGGTCATATTGGTGGGAAGACATAGAGGAGCACACCTAGTACGAAGTCCATTATATGCATGAGAATTTCCAGATTCGGACCGTGGACGTGGTGCATCCTTGGACGTTTCGCCGGCATCGTATGGTGCTAATCAAGATGAATAGAACCACAATATTTGTGGGTTTGTACACAAGAGACTAGGGTATGGGAAGTCATAGACTTGGCACTATGGATAGAAGCACGATAGATGCAACGGAGACTAGAGCTAGTTGGCTAATAGTAGACTTGATTGATTATAGACGTGGTACATAAAGCAAAGGCTTCACCATGAGAATTATTCGGGCTCTTTAGCCTCGAATTAGTCTTCCATCCAGCTTGAGAATCCTTATTTTAAGGGGCATACTCAGCGAGGCGGAAGTATGAATGCCATCAAAGGCTTGAGACAGTGTGGAAAATAACGCTTCGAATAGTACAGATAGAGCGGCAGAGGTCAAGTGAAATACCTGAACCAGGAATGTAAGAGGTAGATCCTACGGGGCAAGAAGGAGATTGATAATACCTATGGGAAGAGGATTGTGGGGTGAGAGGTTGAGAAAGCTAGCGTGAGGTTTGGAGAGTTCTTGTGAACTCCTCTGAAAAGGGTACACCCTACCACATTTAAATAAGCAAGTAAGAAATTGTGATAGAGTGATACAAGGATATAAGATTGGTTAATAGCCCAGAGCAGAAGGAGAGGTACTACAATTGTTTAGCAGACAATTGGCCAAAGAATCGGCCTCAATTGTGTCTGTGACGAGTCGTGGTGTGATGCTAAGAGTGGCAGGGCTCATTGATGATGCCGACAACGATACAGGCGAAACGTTTGGGAATATACCCCGTTCACGGTCCGATTCTGGAAATTATCATACATACTATAAACTTCGGATTAGGTGCGTTCCTCCAGGTCTTCATACCAATATGACCAAGTTGCAAAAACAAGATCAACCAACTTCTATACAACTAAAAGAGACTGCGACCATACAAAAGGTCACCCCATCTTGGTCTTCATACCTTCTATTTGTACTTTATTTCGTTATGCCCTAAATTAGAGGAAGATTTGACTCCTATTCAAGAACCAGTATCTCAAAAAGTGACGTTAACTTCATACGCCAAAAGGGTAGATGGAGGCAAACCTGCTTGTAAGGCAGCTTGGAGTAGCGATCAGAAGAGGTTGGGCACATGGTATGATAGAGAATGCATTCAGACTCATCGTTTTTCCGATTATGGTAATTCTACAAGCAAGCGCAAATTAAGCTTAAGACATTTGTTGAGTGTGTGGAATGGGATAAGGAACTTAATTCTAAATTGCTTATACCTGATTGGTAGAATTTATGACTGAGACGAGGCCCGGCCTTATTCACAAATAATGTTACTTGATTAGTCTCTATGTCTGGTCACATTTGCTAAATATTATTAATCGCAAAAGATTCTCCAGCTAAATGAGACTGGTTTCGCATATTGCGTCTGGTGAAACCTAAATCTGAGTCATAAACACCCAGCCTGTCCTAGGATAGACTTTGTGTTGTATTTTATTTAATAAGAGCCAAAACTCATGGTTTTTCCCGCAGTTGCATATAAAAGCTAACGGGAACTGACTTCTGGGAGGAGGAGATGGACAAACTGACTGGGATTTGCCTTAGTAACGAGTGCCCCAGAGAATATATAGAAAGATATATAGGGATAATAAAGAGCAGATTTAAATTAAAATTTTGTGAAAATAAGATCAGGAATCGGGTGGACAACCAAAAGTGAATGTGTCTGCTCTCCTGTGAACTAAGTCGAAAATTGAGATCGTTACTAAGACAATGGAATATCAAGGTGATAACAAATGAAAAGACAACACTATCCAACAACCTGCGGAAGCAACACGAGAGGGCTGATGCACTGGATTGCTTGGGGGTTTATCGCATCAAATGCGGCTACTGTAAGCAGAAGTGTATTGGTGAAAGAGGAAGAAAAATCAGCCTACGAATCAAGGAACACCAAAAACTATGCATAAACATGGATACGGAATGATCCGAAATAGCGGAACATCTTGCACGGACGGAACACGAAATCGACTAAAAATCTACAGAAAAGCTGGCTACATATGGTGAAAATATAGGAAAACGCATGATACGAAAAGTCATCGATATCCTGACTAAAAGAAATCTAATTAATAGAAAACTTGAAGAATGCATGATTAGTGAAAACGTTGCATACTATCTAAGTAAGTTCGGAGAAGATCAGGCCACTGAAATATCAGCAAAAAGAAGACGAGTGGTGTAAGATAATATTTTCAATTTAAGGAAAACAAATAACAAAGAGACCACAGAGGAAATGTCGGAAACCAAGACGAGACGTCTATAGTAAGCCCATTCAAATCAATAGGACTATTACATTTGGGGCTCTGCGCACAAGAGACTACGGCATTAATAAGTTATAGACTTGGCGTTAGGGATAAAAGAGCGAGAGATACGGCGGCGATAATAGGTAGTTGGCTATTGGTTGATTCTTTTTTGTATGTAAGTAGAGTTTTGAGACTACATCTCATATTAGTAGATTAATTTGATCATATACGTGG